AACAGCTCAGGTGTTGATATTTTTCTTTATCATCAATGACCCTCATTGATTGGGTTTAAATCACTGCCAGACATGCGCTATCTTATCTGAAAAAGGCTGAACTTTTCAAATGGAGCGCATTTTCTGCAAACAAAGGAAGAAAAAGCAACGGTTTCTTAAAAAAAAAAAAATAGATCCTATCTAGACTCAGCTGAAGAAGAAAGTGGTTGGAGAAAAGAAATGTGTCTTCAGGTCCATTAGCGCAGTTGGAAAAAACAGCACAAAGGTTTGGAGTGCGTTCTCGTTGAGCTGTGTGGCGTGCATAGTGATGTTCCTGCCTTCCTGTAACACATTCCCTTGCTGCGTGCTATCGACTCTGAAAATTGAAGCCTCTTTCTCCACGGCCTGCTCTCGTTGCCCACTTTCGTCCATCTCAGTCCAGCCCCCTTGTCTCTTGAAGTGAGAATTGCAAAATCAATATAGCTAAATGGAGTTGCCAGAGAAGCCATTGAGTGTCCTCTCTAAGTGCTGGAGGAACAAGGATGTCAAGTAGCAGCAGTCACTCCCCATAGTCACCTCTCCTCCCCCTTCTTACCTTTACCCACAATGCACTTGGTGTTCATAAAAGTAGTAAAAACAGTAGATAGCTCACTTCAAATACACGGGTATACTCCTAGAGTTTACAATTACATGTGAAATTCATTTACTCTAGTCTGCCATAGACCTCAGCGTGCTCTGAAATCCTATTGGTAGTTTATAAAGCTCTTCTCGGTCTGATCTACTTGAGCCTTATGAACCAGTGCAGAACCTGTCTCAGCTACTCAGACCTCAACCTTCTCGCTGCTCCTCGTGTGAAGCTGGGAGTGAGAAAAGCGCCTTCACCCCATTACGCTTCTTGTAAATGGAACGCACTGCCTAATGATATCGAATGTCAGACACTGTTTAGACTTCATTAATAAATTTCCATTTCTTAGAAAATTCATATTAATACATAATTTTGAAACCATACAATCATAATTGCGTATTCAAATCTATGTAATAAGTTAGACAAAGTTAACAATCTTTAGATCAGCTTTTTCCGTGAAAAATAGAATACCAGTATGTAAAAGATAATGATTTCTGAAAGGATAAAAGACACATTGTGGTCTGTTTATTTCATAAAATCTTACTTAAATAAACTTTCTGTTGGGAAAAACAAAATACAAGTTAGGTTCCCAGTTTAAGACCAAGTTATGCTCTGTTTACTTTTCTCTCACACTTGGAGAATGTTTATCACACAAGCAGAAATAAGCTAGTTGTATGTCTCGAATATCCAACAGCGCTTGTGATTTACTATCTTGGCGCTGAGAAAGGTGGACCGAAAATGAATACAAATGATACAGAAAAAACATATGCTCTAAGAAGTGTTCAAATGGCATCTGCAACAGTTCAAAAATAAATCTCATAAACATTATCTTAACAGCATGCTTCCCTCACTGTCTTAAATCCACTGCTGTGTGCGAAAGCTGTCATATCTACAGTCAAAGTGTGAGGCACAAGCACAGATGGTGGTTGGAAAGTGAACGATAACAAGAGCCAGAAAGACAGAAAAGAAAAAACACATCCTGGGGTTGTTCAAAAAGAGGAGAAAAATCAGAAGTGTGCGTCTGCCCTTCCCTTTGTCACATCACCTCTGCCAACCTCCAGAGACAACAACAAGCGGCTGAAGAAAAAACACTTTCAATTTACCTTTGACCAAGAACAAACACACGGCTGCTTAGAAGGTACACAGTGTTTGCGGTGGCCTGCAGGGTACGCACCGGAGAACGGATAGGGCACAAAATGGACTGATGATTACACCTTGACTCCCTTTCACAAACAATATACAAAATAAAAAGTTTGAGGTGTAAAAAGTAGCCATGAAGGTCCTCTCGGGTAAGCTTTCCATTTTTACTTGTGTGTTTGTATTCAGGCTGCATGAATAATCACAATTGAATCAAAATTGCAATAGTCTAAAATCAAAATATCTCTATCTTTGTCTTCTTGTCATTTCAATTTAGATCATCAATGATATGCTTAACACTGTCAAGTCCACAACTCAGGTCTAGATAAAAACTACTTAATTCAAACGTTTATATACGAATTATATATTTTTGCAGAAACAAATTACTATAACTGGCTCAGTTGGTTGGCGCAAACCCACGACCTTCAGGCTCTGATACCACGACTTTCACTGAAGTCGTGGTATAAAAGTTGTGGTAGAGCTTAATATCAGTAAAACTAAGGACATGATTGTGACATTTTCTAACAAGCAGAGACAGCTTGCTGAGGCTGAATCTTCTGCTATCAGGGGAGAGCGTGTGGAGGTGGTTTATGAGTACATATATCTAGGAACCATCTTTGATAATATGCTCAAATTCTCCAGTAACACTGAGGAGCTCCTGAAAAATGCCATCAGAGGCAATATCTTTTAAGAAAAGATATTGCCAAACATTTGATGTTTGGATTGACATCAAATGTTTGGATTGGCATTTGATGTCAATCCAAACATCATGATGACCTTTTACCATGCCTTTATTGAGAGTGTTCTTTCTTTTTCATGTGTTTGCTGGTTTTACTCTGTCACTGTACAAAACAGGGCTCAGTTAAACAGAGTAATAAAAGTCTGCTCTAAGATCATTGGCCAGCCAGTCAGATCCCTTCCTGCCCTGTGTGATCAGCAGGCCATGAGAGTGGCCTATAGGATTCTGGGAGACCCTGCTCATGTTCTCATCCCTGTGTTTAAGTGGCTGCCTTCAGGGAGGAGGCTGCGCTCGGTGGGATGTAGGACGTAGAGGAGGAAATCCACTTTTGTTCCTACAGTGACTCAGCTGCTGAACTCGGACCCATCATTCCCCAGCGCAGCGTTAAAACGCAGGATACAGGATGTGTGCGTAATTGTATTTATATGTTTTTTTTAATTGAGATTTTTAGCATGTAACTTGCAACTCTCCGTGCTTTTTTAATTGCCCCTCGGGGATAAATAAAGTGATTGATTGATTGATTGAAGTGTGCTGTTGTTGTGTCCTTGGGCAAAATACTTAACCCCACTTTGCCTGAAGCCCCCACTGAAAGATCAAGGCTGTGTCATCACTGCCAAGAGCAGCCATCCTCCTTTGGACCACCTGCAGGAGGATCAGTGAGGGGCTGGTGCTCTGTGGATTGGGTGCAGCTTTGAGGGATTAAGGGGGAGGAGATGGATGGATGAAATTACTATAATTTAGAATTTAGAACTATACACAATTCAAAAAATGTGATTGTGAATCAGGTAATATCTTCATATAGATGCTTTTTCAAATGTAACTTTCTTGAAGATGTTTTTTTGCCCAAAAGCAAATGAGACTTTATAAACAAATGAATGAACGAATGATACCATTATTAGTCCCTCAGTGGGAGAATTACAAGTTTGAGGAAGAGTCTCATCAAGAAAACAGCATATATTAGGTGACCATATAAAAAATGCATTGCAATGATTACTATTGGATATTAATGCAGGCCAAAATTCTTAGAAGTGAATCATCTTCATAATGAATACATTGTCTTCTGGAATTTCTATATAATTAGCTTTGTGTTTTACTCTTGCTGTATTCATGCAGTGAAGCTGATAGGCTTTTATCTTTATAGCTTGTTTATCTAATTACTTTCGGTCTTAAGAAATAACAAACGTTTCTTCAGAATTTCCTCTCCAACAGATACAAAAATGTCTAGGCTTTGATATTTGATATTTTTGTAATAATCACAACATTTGTAAAGAACACTACTATGATTCATTTTTGAGTGTGTATTATTTGTATGTATCTATTATCTACATGAGGCTGTCAACAGGAAGAGTCCTGCAAAAGTAAAATGCTCTGGTTGTCTCTAACTGATTAGAAAACGTTATATTTCGCATACTTGTAAGGAAAGCCCTGGGAGTCAGTAATTGCCTCAGGGCTGTCAGAAATGTGTTAGATATTTTATGTCCATCATTAACTTAAGTTCTAAGATAATGAGGAGAGCAGGTTTGCATAAGAATGTCCCATACACTGGCTTAACCTCAGTAACGTCACCAAGGATTTATAGTTTTAAGAGGACTTTTTTGCAGTAGGAACACCTAAAAAAGTGTAAACCCCCCAGCCGTGTTTAGGCTTTTCTGCTGTGGCTCACATATCCTGCTGTTTGTCAGATCGACCTGAGCTTTTGGACACGGTGTGTGAATGGCTCTATGGTGTGGTCCTTGATCTATTTTTTGGTGTGATTCGTTTTCAAAACGTTTATCCCCACATGTAATCAACAGACTTTTGCATTCACATCTCTCGAAGCTCCCACTACAGATATTGACAGACGAAATGACCAAACTGCAACACAATTGTGGGTGCACAGACTACCGGAACTACAGAGAAAACAACCTTTATTCAACCATTGAGATTCAGGGATCTCTTTTCCAAGATAGTCCTGGCCAAGTGGCACTCAAACATGTTTATATAACATTCAGTACCTACAGTCATAGTTACAGTTACAGGAACTGAAACTGTTGCTAGCTGTGAGCGGTGAGGACAACAGACCGCCATGTTCCCAAAGCTCATACACTTCTCAGCTCAGGAACAAACTGTCTTTCTTCACACGGTTGTGTCTGTAAACCATCTGTGAATGGTGACTGCAGAGAATACATACTGAACCAGTTTTCCAAATCACAAGTTGAAAGACGCTTAGTGATGTCACAATCAGGGCTGGAAACTTTTCTATAACGTCTCTTTCTTTGAAAAGAACTGTGGCTGTCTTCAAGTCAACTACTCAGCAAATTAGCTCTTCTTTCCACCTGCATGTGACAGAAAATAGAAATGCTGCTGGGCAGGCTGTTACCTACGGCTAAACACCAAACACTATTCTTTATACCAATATGCGCAGTCTTTTTCTTCTCTCTAAATGTGAGTGTAGGGAAGTGACATGGTGCACAGTAATTAAGCATACAGAATTTGTCATAATACCAGTAAAGAAGTAAAGACTCAGCAAATCTGACATACCTGTTCTAGTTTCCAGTGGAATTCGGCTGGCTTGAAGGTGTCGACCTCAGAGAAGTCCCTCCGCAGAAGGAAAACCAGTCTGCAGTTGTGGACATACAGCGAATAATGGTGTCGGTTCATTTCTGAAACAATGTCACACAACAAATAAATTATGCTTCACTGAGCATATTATGAATGGACTTAATACAAAAATGTTGTATACAGAAGAGTCATCCCATTTAGTTTCGTATGATGCTCTTCTCAGGCAATTAACCATCTGTGTGGACATTGTGAGAGTGTGCAGATGGTTTGCTTAATTAAAGAGTTCAGGCAGCTCAATTTAAACTTAGTGAGAAAAAAACATGATAGGATTTCTTCAAGTTACTAATGTTTTACAAAAGTTATGGAATTACAGGGATGAATAAGTCAAGTGAGGCAAGTGTCAATGGGCAGAAAATACGGGGAAAATACGTGGCACGTTTTAAAACAGTTAAGAATGATGCACTTCCATCAAGTAAAGCAGTGAGCTGCTGTGAACCAGAACTGAGCCAAGACTGAGCAAAGACTGAACCAGGACTGAACCAGGACTGAGCCAAGACTGAGCAAAGACTGAACCAGGACTGAACCAGGACTGAACCAGGACACAACCAAAACTGAATCAGGACTGAGCTAGGAATACATAATGTATTAAGTTTTTGAAGTAACTTGCCCAACACTGTCTATGCTGAAGAAATGTCTCCTTTTCAGCACACCTTTTCAATGCCAGATCTCCAAAGCTTAGTAACACAGCACCTGCATGAGAGACGGTTGATAACCAGTGTCACAAAGCAGTCAGCTTTGTAGTTTTGTTTCAAATCGATTGTGGTGAAATATTGTGCCAAAAATATGGAAATTGTGTCCATGACTGTAAAAATAATTAACAGCATATAAAATTAATGCAGTATCAAAACACAGGATTTACAGGGATCGCTATTCGTGAACAAAAGCATATTATAACCACACATCATTCATAAATTAGAGTAGAGTAGCAGACTAAATACTTTAAAAACCTGTGAGAATGTGAGTCTAATCTAATACAATGTTGCAGCAAACATTTTGTTCAAAACAGAGCAGAGTGTTTTCTTTTATTGTTGGAAAAGGTCAAGCATAAAGCAAGACTGACAACAGCTTGTTTTCATCTCCGGAGACAGCTTTCTTGTCTATAATTCTGTCATTGTCCCAGTCCTTAAATGCCTAGTAAATCATCTAAACACAAGAGAAAAGGTCACTCATTTGGTTTAATAACTCTCTTGTTCTTCCTTGGTCCATTTTTAACTCTCACAAAGCGAAACGCGTAGTTAATGCTAATGTAGCCAACAGGATATGATTAATGTGACTCCTGCAAGGCTTCACATATTTTATAACAAATTATATATTCAGCCGCAAGCAGCAATGAATGGCCCTCGTCTTTGCCAAACTACTGGTTGTGAAGCACCATTGCACCCTGACTCCACTTAATGCCTAAAACTGCAAAGAATCTCAATGTAACATTGTAAAGCGCTTTGGGTGACCTTGGTGTGTAAAATGTGCTATATAAAACAACATTACTTACTTACTTACTTTAGTGATCAATGCGCAAATGTGGCAATTTTACTTTCACTTTACAGTGGTCACAAAAAGTAAATGTTTATGTGGAAAATTCCAAGTTTGTCACCACTGAACATATTGGTATGATTCCTGTGAACTTTCATGATCTCATTATTCTCCTGTTTAAACCGTAGACTGTAAATATTAACAGACGAAGTCACGGCTATCTCCGCCGTTCGAACTATTGTGCCACCACTTTCGCCGTCTATGGGCAGTTTCAAAATGGCCGCGGGAGCTGGAAATTTTGAAAAAACGCATCTGCGCATGCGTCAGCCGGCACGAGCCCCATTCATTTAACGAGTGCCTTCAAAATTCCACTGCAACCAATTAGACTGGTCCAAAAAAAGGTAAGAGGTAAGAAGATACGTACATTAGCATTGAATGATTCTTATTCCGGGTCCACCGTCATTGGCCCGGGGTGGTTTTGCAAGCATGTCAGCGCACATAATTTTGGACATTTTTGAGCCAGGACCCGCCCCCACTAGTGAAAACCACACATGATGCATTTCAGAGCAGTGCTACAAACCTGTCTTATCAGAATTACACAGAAGAGTCTCCTTCTCTGCTCTTAGTCCGGGACTGGGCCCATGCTTCATCCAGGTTGCTATGGTGAACTGGTCTGTCAGGTTTTGGGGTACGACGTAACCCGGGATGTTCGCGGCCTGATGCCCATCAAACTTGTAGATGAGGTCGCTGTCCCGCCCACTGTCGGTAAGCAGAGCAGCCGTCCAGTTCGAGGAGGGACTGGGGGCAGGGAGAAGGTCAGTGCTGCCGGATGCTGCACCTGCCAATTACAAGTAATGTCAACTGCAGTAACAAACCAACTTTAGGGAACTTTAGTCTAAAAAGTGGTGCTTACTTACGGCCATACATAAAAATAAATATTTCCTGAGCTGAAAATATCAGCAGGAGCCGATGCATTCTCACCTCCTCACAACAACAATCCACTTTCTAAATCCCCTATATTCTCATACGCACCACACAGTTTTTGCAGAGACTTCTCGGAGTATGTCTCGCGGTCACAGCCTTTTCCAATATGGTTAGTCTGCAGCTCCATTGTGGCTTTCACACTAGACAGGGGGCCTCCACACATTTCCAAGTGCATCTTGGGAAACAGCTGCTTGCTCCCTGTGCCTGGCTCATAGTCCACTCGCCTGGTCCAACCTTGGAATACACAAAAAATGTGTTAGTGATGATAGATAAATATCAGGTTGGCTGGTGTACTACAAAAAAATTTAATGGGATCTTTTTGTTGATGTTAATAGCGTGAAATAATTTGTTCCACTGTGTAAGTGGTGCATTGTTTGTGAGTCACATCAATTAGCCCAATGTGAGGCAATCATTTCTACTTCATTACTCTGAGCTTTCTCACCGTGAGTGGTCACATTATTTAACTGTGATTAGCAAAAATGAAAGTAGTGTTCATGTAGACCCAGTGAGCCATTCTCAGAGGGTGTTTTCTTTCTTTCTATTCTTGTTTTAAATTGATATGTTTGGTACAATGACATCCCGGATTCAATAGAATATAAACATGCATGAATAACTGAAAACAACTCAAGGGAATATAATGATAACATGAAAATGTTACGCCTGATGCGGTGTCTTCATCTTATTCTGTGAAAAGTGCATGTTTACAATGCAAAGTGTAAGTGCTTGATAGTGTCCATAAGGGAAGTACAGGTACAGTATGTAAGCCTATAGGAGAAGCTTCATGGAGGTGAGATTGCAAAAGTGTATTGTAAGACTTAAAAATAATTGTTTTGAAAACAAATCATCAAAGAATGCAATAAATCAAGGATGCATACCATCGTGCCATGTGCAAGTTGTTCTTGAAAGAATTAGTTGATCTGACAAACCGTCAGCGAGATACGCGAGCTCCAGACAGACGTGCATTAGAGATAAATATTTACACATTTTATAAAACTGTATATTGTTTTGTTTTATCTATTAAGATCCCCATCAGCTATGGCAGTTGATAAAGTCTGGCAACTGTATCCTCTGTGCACACAAAGAATACTGTTGTTTTATGAGACCATGAAAAGTTAAATAAACACATACATTATATGGAATGGGAATAACTAAGCTTTTAGATCTTGAATCTCTCTACACTCTATAATAGAACCAGAAAAAGCATGACATTAACATGTAGTGTTTTGCCATTTTCCTGTAATCTTCGTTGACATTTCCATGAATGAGCCTTAACTACAGACTGTGTTTTTTCACTGGTCTGATCTGATCCTTGTATCCTCTTTTCTGATTCAATTACGAATTTTAACACATACAACAAGATCATGATCTTGTTCAGATATGATCAGATATCAAATAAATGCCCACACATTTTAGACTGCAAAAAAGAAAATAAAGATTCAAGTCAATAGCAAGAAAATTTCAGTCAATTTGAAATGTACACTTCAAATGCACTTCTAACAATCAGTAATGTTTCAATTTGAAATAATATATTTATTCACTGTTGATTATGTTTGACTTGATATTTCGGATGACTGCTTATAATATATATAATATTTCAACTTGCACGTTATTTAGCACTTTAGTTTTATGTGTGTCTTTCTTCGCAGATTAAGGTCGTGCTTTCACATAGAGTACACGGTATAATGTGCTGTGATGAAAACAAACATATTCCAATGGTGTTGTGTAAATTGAGGCTGCTATAAACACAGGTCTCCTGATGTCCTGATGGATCCTGAGCCTGACACTCGAGCGTCTGACAGCGCTGACAGCTCCAGACACAGTCTGCCTCCAGAGCCAAATCCATGTGCGCTCAAAGAATCAAAAACAGCCACCAGTCAACAACACATCTCTAACCAGTTTATTCACTTCCAGAATGTTGGGATATGTCTTGCAAAAAGTTTTTTTCTTTAACAGGCAATTGGAAGATTATTGTTAGAATTACAATAAAAAAATAAAAAATACCCTTCCCCATTTTAAGAGAATCTAAACACAACAAGTGCATCAGAGCTATGGCTCTTAGTCGCTTTGGGGCAGCTAATGAGTAGTGTATTCGTCTAAATGGGGTCTCTTGAGAACTAACCTTGCCATCCGGGTTTACACACTGGTTTCACATCAATATGCACCGCCACATCTTCGCTGGCTCTCTTCTGACCGCAGTCAAAGGCCGCCACCATAATTTTGTAGCTTTGTTGTTTGTCGTAGCTCAAGCGTTCCGTGTTTCGGATGTTACCTAGAAGATAGACAGAAGATGAAAGCAATTATGTTTCTAATTATTTCCTTGACGGTTTTTTTTTTTGAGTCAAATTACAGCAGGGGAAGATTTTCAATTTTCTGATAATTGAAAGCAACAGTGCATCAATGCCACATTGGGCCGATTGTACCACTACACACAACGTATATAATGCAGCACAGTATGTCCTTTTGTTATATTTAAGCTTCTATAGGCTCCTCAAAATGTATAAAAATTTGGACCTAATATGATAAGATTAGAAGTCCTGTCATCGTAAGGGAAAACATGAAATACAGATAAAAACCAAATCCCAGTGGCCGTGATTAACATGCAAATTTTTTGAAGATAAAATGAGAAACATGCTTCATAAACACTTCTGTTTGTGTTGAGAATGGGTGTGTCCTTCAAACTGTGACTTTATGCATCATATCTTTGATCATAAATCTGTGTAAAAAAGCACATCATCACAACGTGCATTTGTACACACTCATGAGTGTGGAAAGGAGTTGATGTTATGAACACTTCTAAATGAATAAGACTCACTAATAAGAAACACATTTAATGGTTGTGGACTACAGGTTTATGAGTTTTATCATGATAGCTATTTAGTGCAAACAAAATAAACATTGCCAAAATAATTGCAGGCTTGGGCCTTTGAAAATTACAAACAATGAAATTCAGATTTGATTTTGACTGAGGCGCTCTAAAACAATTCAGAGAAAAACTTAATCAAACTTCACATATTTTTTCATACAATGTGAGATGGTTGTTTATGTAGGTCTCCAAGCAGAGCACTATTTCTGTGGCAGTCATACTGAGGCTTTATGTTTGAAGAGCTGTCACACACGGAGGAGAGAGGAGGTTATGTAAGTAGACTGAAGGAGATCACAACGCTCTCCAAAAACCATGGCTAAAAAAACGTCATGTTCTACTCTTGTTTCATACATTTTCATTTTTTTCATTATCAATCCCTTTATTAGTCCATTTCTGGATCGGGAGGTGGCAATCAGAGCTGCCACCAAATGCTCATAGCACCAGTCCTTCACTGATCTTCCTGCAGGTGGTGGGTCCACGGGAAGAAGGCTGCTCCGTCAGCAGTGACACAGCCTTGGTCTTTCAGCGGGGGCTTCAGGCAACGTGGGGTTAAGTGTCTTGCCCAAGGACACAACGACAGCACACATGAGTGGAAAAAGTTGGAGTAGGTCTCGTGGGGGGATCAAACCCACGACCTTCAGGCCCAAAGGCCAATGCTCTACCAACTGAGCCACTGTCACCCCATTTGTGCCTCTTGTTTCAAACAATAGCATTTCAATAGAAAAATCTACTAAAAACCAGTCAATTTGCACTCGGAGGACACCCCCAACATCATGGATCATCTCAAAAGTTAACTTCCATCACCTCCCATCTGAAAAAAATTGCACAATACTGCCTACAGACTGCCTGTTCCTTAGATATTCCCTACAAATATATTTTTTCACTTCAGTGATTTGTTTTTCAGCCACAGACAGATTTTAAAACCTGTCAGAAAAAGCAAGACAAAATCACTCCCTGAGCACTAGACTTGTACCTAAAGAAGGCAAAACATTACAGCAGTAACAGAGTCCATTAAAATGTGCAGCTGTGCATAAGCCTCTTTGCTACTTCACCTGACATATATAACAGAACAGCCCAAACCATAGTAGTTATTATAGCCTGGAGGCGTCTGTATTAAATGATCCAGTCCTGTCTCCAACCAAAGCAGAAGCCATAAGGGCTAAACATGAGCGGCCAAAGGGAGCAGCCTCTATCAGCTAAAGACGCGTCATTGTGCTCTGTTTGAACACATCACAGCGGTCGCGCTTCAGCTTGAATTAAACCATGGTCGGATCATGGCTGCAGAGATGTGAAGGCAGTGGGAGTACATGCCCAAAGCACAGATTTATCATTGGCATATGTACTCAGAATAGCACTGATCGAGAAAAACATACACATTTGCCCATTTACTGAGATGTATGTGCGGCAAACAGCCCTTTGGATTGAACACAGTGCACTTTTTGTAAGATTGAACTGCAGGGGTGGAAAATCAGTTTGAATGGCGGCAATGACATAAAAGCTGTAAAGATAGCAACAACATTTTAATTCAATTAAAGACCTTGCCGTGTAGACTATACTTCTCAAATTAGATGCACAAGATTTTCTATTACTTTAACAGTTCGTTAAATTGTTTTTTCTCCAAAATGTGCACGCTCCTGGACATGTTCACAATATTCTATTTTAATTGTGTTCTCTATATCTCTATAATGTTGCTCGGATGTATTTTTAAAAGGCTTTAGCCATGTTTTACCTCTAAACTCAAGCTCAACATAGCTTCAACTTATGATACACTCAAAATGTTAAAATGTATGCTATAAAGTTATGTCCGTCTCCAGAAGGAATATATAAATAATCAACCCAGTTAAGCCTCCTTTATTCCACTACATTCATGCTGATTCACTTCAGCTAGAAAACGAAACTTGGTCAGCCAGCTCTCCTCTCACACTCGTCAAACAATCTTTAACTCCAAAAAATCCCGCCTGTGTGAAAACGGACTCTATCCCCTTCACATTCCAAAGACTTTTCCAGTCTAAAGCAAACAACACAACTTAACTTTCAAACACTAAATAATACATCCACACAGGAATCTCTAGGCCCATTGAACAAACCAAGGTTTTGAGCAACACTCCTGCACATTTATTTATTTTGAGCCCACCACAAGACCTACTTCACGACTCCCATTGTTGACTACTGTTGTTGCGTCCTTGGGCAAGACACTTTGCTTGAAGCCCCCGCTAAAAGACCTGTGGACTCACCACCTGCAGGAGGATCAGTGAGGGGCTGGTGCTATGTGTTCTGGGTGCAGCTCTGACTGCCACCCCCCGACCCAGAAATGGGTTAAGGGGAAGAAAATGGATGGATTAAACAATAATGAAACAAGCCGGGGAGCCGTGTAGAGCTTTTGCATGCATTGCGCTTACCTTTTCTAAACTTCTGTTTAGTATGTATTCTTTAGTATAATACTTCTGTATTGTACTTTTGGATATTTTGTGTCTGTGTTGAATGGGAGAGGGAGGTATTGAAATGTATAAGTGTTTTGTTCATCAAACCCATTTTTCAAATGGTCTTATTTTTGTCTGTAAAATTGAGTTGTTCAGGACACTTTTGAAAAAAAAATGCTTTGAAATACGCCAGTCGTTTTACATCACTGTTCAGAGGGCCTTATAGCTTCTCACTATTAGAGCCATTCACTCTAAAGACAACATTGAGTGGCTTCTCCTTTATAAATAGTAAAAAATAATACATATAATACACATTTCCTATCTCAAAAGAAATCCTATCTGAGATGTGTGACCCATGTGCCTTTGATCCTAGAGTGGTTTGTCTCACAATATCGTGAGAGGTAGGATTAAACAGGACACAGGCCAATGTACCTTGTTTGGCCCTTGTCTTTTTCGCTCATTCAAAATTATATAGGTAAAACTTACCATTACGGTCAATGGCAAATGGTGTCCCAGCAGTGACAATTTCATAGTTGCAGATCTGACTGTACTGTGGGGAGCAATCCTGGTCCCACGCCTCCACCTGAACAAATATAATAATACACTTATTATCTGATGTGGATAAAAGATCCACATGGAGTTCAGAGGGCAAACATGAGAAACATCTGGTTGTTTGTACACCCTTTTGTCCCTCCCGGCCTGAGATCTCCAGGGCCCTAGGGTTAAGTGAGGGTTCGTTGTCCACTTGTACTGTACAGAGCAGGATACTCTCCAGGAGCAGTGTGTGTCAAAGATGTGTGTGCGTCTCTATGATCCTAGATTTTGCTTTTCTTTATTTATTGAAAGTGTACTTTAAGCCTTAAACATTGGGAAAATATCTGCATTTACAGTGTTCCACAAAACCCTGCACTTATTTTTGCACTCGCTTCCAGTGAAATCATGCTGCACTGATATGTCATCATCTCCCAGTGTTCAAATGCACTGAAGTCTTCACTGTTCTTTTGTTTGTACTGCTCAGAGCAGGAGAAGATCCAGAGAAATACAAAAATACCTGTAAAATGCTGTCGTAGATCTTTCCTTCAGTGACTGATGCTTTGTACTGCTGCTCTCGAAACATAGGACTGAACTCATTCACATCATCAACTTGAACATGAACCACCGCTCTGAAAATAAATGATAAAGAATTGTTGTTTGATTTCATCACATTTTTGATTAACCAGGGAAATTCCACACTATTACATTGCACGTGCAGTTTAGTTCCTGGGCGGATAAATATATTGCTAAAAGTTCACACCGAGATTGTGAAATACATAGAAATAATGGACATTTTCCATTTACTTTATCTCCAAGGATGACAAGAGCAAATGAAGCAGACAGGCTGACAGACACAGAAGACGGAACACATACACTAATCATCTTCCAGTGTTCTTCTATTCAATAATTATTTCAATTTCACGACACTAGGCCACAGAACATTTCAACGAATCCATATTCGTCATATTTGAGTGTGTTCACAGTAAAGTGTCCATTAAAGAATCTGGAAGAGATAGTGTGGATAAAATCAAAAGGAAAGATTGATAAATACATTTTTGGCAACATTTTAAACAACCAAATGAGCCTCTAATTTGCCAATTCTACTGTGACGCCAAAATAAACAGGGCTGCTATAGACAACTTGACTCATTTACAAAACAGTTCTGTTCTTCTAATGGACAGAGGAGGTATTTGGATACATGAATATTTTTTGGCCTTTTGTCACACTTTTGTATCCTTTAGTGTGAACAAGCCCATTTATGTGAAACAGGAAAAAGTAGATGTGCCTGTATTCATAATACATGTAGATATTCTGTAGTTTGTAAAATAGTTTTATACCCAAAAGTGCAGAGACTCAAACTCTAACTGTTTTGTGGTCGCATGGTTAACTCCCCACAAAGACCTACTGTCAAAAAATTGCTGGAGGAAATTACCTTTTAATCTGAGTAAATGACAGCTCCAAACTAAAGAAAATGCTGTGTATCATATGCGCATGTTGATGTCCCATTTTCTTTTACTCAGAACCAATCACACAGTGTGTAATCTAGTGGGAGGTACTGCTCTTAGGCAATTTAAGAGCATCGGCGCAGTGAAGTATATAATTTAAACTCTTATTCCAATGCATCATGAAGTTTGTTTTATGGTGACCTTTTCTGTCACCAACTCATGGTGCAATGAGGAAGCACATCTGGCTAATTAATGGCATTAGCGTAATGAGGCCTATTTGGAATGTCATGCCGTGATAATGTCACAAACACTTGGGCCCATTCACACACGCACACATATACACACACACACATATATATATACACACGCATGCACGCACGCACACACACACGCACGCACGCACACACACACACACACACACACACACACACACACACACACACACACACATATATATATATACACACGCATGCACGCACACACACACGCACGCACACACAAACACACACGCACACACACACATATATATACACACGCACGCACACACACACGCACGCACACACAAACACACACACACACACCCACACACACACGCACACACACACACTTACAGGACAAAGCAGGTGAAAAGCAGCGAGATACCTATCCTCCATGTGGGCTGTTTGCAAAGACTAACTCTGATATGGTATATGCGTGAGAGGCTAATTCGCTCTGTAACACCTGTCTCTCTTTCTCCAGTGGGTGGGGGGTTCTGGGCGCTGGTGGATCTGAACCTCCAGTGTGTGTCTGAGGAACATCTCCCTCTGGGTCCATAGTTGAGAGGGAGTTTCGTGTCCGCCCACACACAAGCCCCTGGCACACCAATTCATTTTCTCACTGTAGACAGTCTACAGTACAGGCCCCAAGCCTTCATTTACTTCTGTCCAGGAATTTATAGTACCTTGTGATTGGCGAAAAAAAACTAGACTCTGTAGTCCCACTGTCCACGCCAATGGCCTGTCTATGGGGCCAATGTTATTTTATGGGGCCTCCTCAGTTCACCTGCCGTTACTGTAGAAACCATGTGATTGCTGAATATTCTCAGTTATGAACCAAAGCTCCTCCGCCCGTTTTGCTCTTTCTTTCAACTAAATGTAATTTTTTTAAATGATTTTAAAAAGTAATGTAATGTCATTAGAAACAGTTGGCCCACCAAAGTGATTAAAAATCAAATAGATGGTGAAATGTCTTATAATGCCTTGGGATTCTCTCCTATGAGCTGGAGGAAGTGTTACTGCCTCTGCAACCTGAAAATGGAAAGTGGAATAAAATAGAGGCATATCCATAAGGCAGATTTGATTTGGATTAGTTCCAAGCTAAATTTGTGAAACGGCTATATTAAAACTTAAGAAAAACAGAACAATTAACAAGAGTCCAACAGTCCATAATTATAAATATGGAGCACACACAAATTACTGCACTAACTATACTTTTGCATTTTTTTGTAATATTGTTACTTGATATTGTCAATTGACAACAGCCAAAATAATAATATAATCGTTTACTGTGCGTGTCATTTTGCAAAGATTAAATAATAAGATACAATAAAAACCAGAAACCATCAAGACATAAAACGTTTTGTCACGCCTGAAATTAAACATGACTTTGTAATAATTCACAGGAGAATAATAAAGACAAGAATCTCTCTCAACACTGTCACATTGAGCCAATTAAACAACGTTGGTAAAAGTCAGATGCATTAAATGCATACATAAACTAAAATGGTTTCTACGGTACATTATTTGCTGTTTCTTGATGATGTTTGAATGATTATTTCATGTACTTACTTGTGGGACTTCTTCCAGTCAGCCCCGTCGGGTCCTGCCCCGCAGTCATAGGCCTGGATGATGAAGGTGTATTCTTTCTGGAGCTCACAGTCCACTTGGCCACTGGCTCGAAGGACCCCTTCTCCAGACGTCTGATTGAGAACTACTGCCTCAAATGGCACGTCTTGACCGTAGATTTTAAAGGCACAAATCTCCCCTATAATGACAAACAAAAGTTTTGTAAAAGCAGTTCTGAGTTGTCATATTCTAAGTTCAACAATGAAAATCCAGTAAATTTAATTTGTCAATTTATCTCAAACCTCCACAAGAAAATGCAGAAAATGTGAATATGTACATGTAGATGGTTTTAAAATGAATTGGATAAAGTAAAACGCTTATATTAAGGCAATCCCCCTGTCACCCTCTCAAACACAAGCCACAATGCAATACCAGTGGCACAATGGCTGAGTAGAAGGATGGGTCAAATGCAGATTACAAATTTCCCTACGGGGACAATAAAATAGAAATAACTAACTACCAGAACAGAATGATAAAATCAAGAAAGTTTGAACACATTTCTTTTACATGTATTACTTTGGTGTTCTATACATATATAGTAATTTCAAACAACATGTTCTGCATCTGCATGTTGGTAATTTCCATTCCAAAAGCATTTGGATATTTCGACTTCAAAAAGCAGAGCGCTGGCGCACAATCAAACTGTGGGTGAGAAAGTAAACACAACAAAAGCCCACATCTTCTTTGAGCTCCATAGAAGTCATTTCAGATTGGAGCCGGTTTGCAACAGTCATGTCTCTGAACAAGCTGTTCTCTGAGTTCTGCTCCTGGGGCAGGCTTAAGAAGATGATAACTTCTGATTTCTGTCAAATATATGTGACTCTAAAGGAGGATGACACACGCAGACGCAGCGCTGTGTGCTTGAACATGAACTGGAGTGGAGAGTTTGAAGCATGTACTTCGGGGGATTCGGGGTCTTCAAAACCATGGGCTTCGACTCAAACTGAGAATAAATCATTACGCAGCCAAAATAAAAGGTAATTGAAAATGGAGAGTTTGGCAGATAGAACATTCAGGTTTAAAGGTGAACTGAAAGTGCATTTCATATCATTTCCTTAGGCTTCTGAAACGTTTCTTACCATAAATAACATTGACTTGATCAACTTTAATCCAATCTACTTTATTTTTATAGCACATTTTATAAATGTTTCCACAGTACTGCACAGAGAGAAGTGAAAAAAATAACAATAATAAGATTAAGATGTATAAAATCTAAACAATTCAAATTCAAAATTTAAATGCTAATGTTATGTTCAGGGCATCTCAAAACTCTCTGTCACTTAATGAAGAAAACCTGTTCCATGACAGAGATGCACTCCACAAATATAGACTAAGAGGAAATAAAAAGTTAAATTTAGAGCCACCTTAAAAATCAATGAGTATCTCAGTGTGTAGTCAACATTGGAGCTAAAAGAGAGAAGAAAAAAAATGTTGTGGGGGAGGGTGGCCCTCGGCACAGAGCAAGTGAGGAGAGAGGTGCAGGGCCAGTGAGTGTTTTTCGCTTCTACATGCGTGCGTGCATGTATGTGTGTGCGTGCGTGTGCGTGTGTGCGTGTGTGTGTGCGTGTGTGTGTCTTGTTGAGTACCATAAGTGGTAGTGTATTACATTGTTTTCTATGTTTTGTTGAAACCTACTGTATGGTATTGTTCTTATTTTTGAATTGTACAGTATTGTATTGTGTGTGTTTGTGTTTGAATGTGTGAGAGGGGGTTGGAATAATAAAATAAGTGTTTACTTCATCTAAGCCCTTTGATGTATTTTTCCTGTAATAATTGCAGGTGGGTTGTACAGGTTTGGAATTAGGGCTGAAACAACTAATCGATTATTGAAATAGTCGACAACTATTTTAGTAATCGATTAATCGTTTTCTGGTTCACACGGACTCAAACAGAGCAAAAATGACATGAAAATGTAGTATTTTTGATTAAAATCGACTTTGTTTTTATAATTTCATGAATATCTGTCTGTCTCATCCAATCAGATAGCAGAATTAGCACAAAGAGCCTGTTACAAACATTTACTTTAAGTTTACGCCATCAATATGTCCTCAAGTGTTGCCACTTTAGCTTTTTGTGATGAATAAATACATTTTTTCTAGACAATTCACAGCCAAGCGATTACTCGATTAATCGTAAAAATAATCGATAGATTAATCGATTACAAAATAATCGTTAGTTGCAGCTCTATTTGGAATCAATACATTCAATTCAACAATTCAACATTATCACAGGAACTATATTGGTACCAAAATGTTTTATATTGTAGTTTTGAGATCATTCAAAAACTGCTCAGAGACTCTTACATTTTCTCCTGTTTTTTCATTATTGTTATAGGCCGCCGTGAGACAGGTTAGTTTTACCCTACTGATGATGTGTTGTTGCAATAGTAATTCAGCAATAGTATTCATATGAGTATCTTGTTGTGAAGTTTTAGTATAGATTAGTAACAGCTTTTTGATACTTTTTGACCATATTCATAGCACCATCTCACCTACAATATAACACAAATCTTGAATACGTTACAAAGTGTAAGGCGCCTCCTGGTGAGTCCTTTGTGCTTTTATCTAAATGAAAATGTAACGGCCATTATGCAGGAGTGGGACACAAGGTTAAATCTATAAACTTGTAATAACAAACACAGTGGGTGGCTTCGGCAGGGGCTAATAAGCTGCGCATTCAGACTCCCAAGAAAATTAAGTGTTGCACGGGACAATCAGACCACACATTATAGCTCACAGCTGCAAATCTTTACAAAAGTGTTTCCCACCAACGTTTGGGTAATGCGTTTTCTGCTCTGTCTGAAATGGCAAGTAAGTTTATGTGGAGCAACTGGAGAGCAAGGCATTGATAATCGGGTTATAAATGATAATAACAGGGACATGGTGTAAGCAAAAATGCTCCTTATGTATGCATTTCCACCAAACATTTTGCACTTTCACAAACGGTGAAACTAAGGAAGAAAAATCAGAGTCACAGGAGGACAGGATAATGGAACCCAAGCATCTTGAAGTCAATATAAAAACTGAAATAGATTTTAGCTTGAGGGCAATAACTTGTTACCAGTACTCTGAGCAAGTTTATGAGTCAGCGAAACAACTCAATAATAATAATAATCAGAAAGAGATGACTCTACAAAAAAAGAGATAGACAGACAAACAGTGCTACACAATGTGGAATTACAGATAAAGGTGAAACTCTGAAAATTATCATTCAAACGCTTATTTATTTTTGTATTTCAAATAAAATTGTGAAACCCATATATTTTATCGACCTAATACATACAAAGTGACAAATGCCAAGCATTCTGCCCGTTATCACTTGATTGATTATGGCTTAAAATCCAAAAAAATAATAATAATTTTTTTTTACAAACTGTGAGCAAATTAACAGCATCAATACAAATAAAGCCGAGTCTGACATATATCAGCTTCAAATTTTATGTTAACATTTTCCAAATTGGTCCTGTATATTGGATGTTAACAATGTGGAGTCAGAGTGTGTCCGAAATGTCAGGAGAGTTTTCTGTTGTTCTGCTGCTAAGCAGTCAGAATAACATATTATTTGTAGTTTAAAATAAAATATAACATAGATTATTATGCTCACTGCATTGTCCTGAGGCTGAGGCCCATCATTCCTAACGTCAGGACAAAGTCATGGTGAGGCATCTTTCCATCACTACAGCTCCTGCCTTTGGAACACCCTGCCGGAGGAGCTCAGGGGAGCAGAGAACGTTCATGTTTTTAGAGCAGGCTCAACACATACCATAGATTATCTTTGGATTAGTATTTATTATTTCTTATTGCAATTCATGTGTGTGTGTGTACACATGTGTGCATGCAAGTGTGTATATATGTACACGTGTGTGTGATGCTATTTTGTATGAAAAGCACGTTATAAACAAATATGATTTTATTTTTTGATTTGATCCACAAAAAATAATGCATACTTCAGACACATAGAAATAGATGATGCCAGTTCACAAATTGTCTTTACGACTTGGTGGAAAAAGAGAGCATAAAACATAGTATATTGTTCTGTGACAAACATTTTGTCTGCATAGATAAACAAAACTAAAATGGTAGACAAACTAAAATAAATAGCACAGCTGTTCGCTAACATTGATTTGGGATTGTATTCAAAAGAAAGGGTATCAAATGTTTCTTCAATGCACAATCAGAACAGGTTTTCCATGAGCAATTCAAACAGTCTCCAGGCTTTGAGAAACTTACCCACTGATGTCAAGAAGACAATTATGCAAAACAGAGCAGAAGCCATTTCAGAAAAGGTATGAGGCTGAAAAGATGAAGACTGGTTTACTCTCCTCAGTTTTTCAGGCCATAGGTAGGATTACACATTAGAGAGCACTGAAGGGAAAAATGTGGTTAACTGAGGATTCTTTTGAAAATGTCGTTGAAAATTGACAATTTTTTCCCATTATTTTTCAGTTAATGTTAAGTTAAAATTACCAACACGTTGCAAAAATATAATTGTATTTGTAATTCTATGAAATAACATTTATTGAGAAGAATCTTCTGGACAAGAACTATTTATTACAAGAAAATACCAATTAAGCGTTTTATACGTGTGCGTTCAAAAATGCTTTTGTATACATTCTGAAAAACAAAGAAGAACATTTTCCCCTCGTTGAGACTGAAAGGTTTAATAGCTGCCATTTATAACTGGGAAATCCACATGTTAAACTTGCGTAAACATTAGACCCAGTATCAGCCGGGTGACCAAATTCAAGCGCATTAATTCCTTTTCCTAATCAGATGTTGTGACGCCATCTGTCCGTGTGGGTTATTTGTAGAACAGACACAGAAGCTTCTCCCTCTATCTCTGTGTTGTAAGACCTTGATTAAAGTCAGTTTCTCAGAAGACTATCTCTAAGCCCTGATGCCTTCCCAGGGCTGCCTCTCACACTTACCCTGTTCCTCGTTTAATTAATGAGTGGATTAGGCTCATCCCCTGTTTACTGCTACTACACTCCATAGCACATCACAGCAGTGTAGAGACTACATGAATGTATGCAGTATGCAGACACAAACAACAAGTACATAGAGAACTACTATTGCCCTGTTACGTATAGTTTACGTACATTTTTTCATTGATAACAAATGTCAGCTGTAAAACATTAGA